AGATAAATTGAGGAACAAATAGAACTTCGTCATCAAAAACGAAAAAATCTGCATTCAGTTTTTGCGGATTGAATTTATATTTTTTTAAATTTGATTCTTGCTTTGAAAATGGGATATTTCAGCGCCCAAAAACTATCTTTGACTGCAATGAGACAGCTTATTTGAACACTAGACTGCATGTTCAAAACGGGATATCTTGTGATTATATACAGATGGTATATATTTCAGGTCTTACCTTTATAGAATTTCGAATTTGACACTGAAATCTTAAATAGCAAATGTAGAACCTATCTTAATCTCTAAATTAAGAATTCTAGTATTTTTAGCTTGTAGCTTAGAAAATAAGTCCAGGATTAAGGGAACATGCACCGATTTAGCTATTTTTTATACGTAACAGCACGAGTTGCAATAAGCGAAAATTTAAGATCAAATCTTTGTTTTTGCACAGAGTTTTGAAATGTAACTAATCCAATTCCAGTATTCTCTTAGAAATATTTATACTTTATGGCGCTTTCAAAGAATATTTATTTTTTAAGAGAAAAAAATTGAATTACATAATATTTTGTGAATATTTTTACGTATTTGCTACTCAAAAAATTTGTAACGCATTTGCGATAAATTTCTAGTCGTTTAAACTCGAAACAATTTGTAGCAGATATGAAAACAGAAGGGTTGCCTTTAACATGTAAAAGGGGGAGCCAGTCTTCAAATTAAATTTGAATTTTTTTGAATTTAGAATTTTCTTCATATATCGTATGAACATAATTGTTACTTTTGAATGGTATAAAATGAAGAATATAAAAGCAAATTAATTGCCGGAAACACACTAATAAGAAAAGACACAAATCGTTATACAAGAGTGAAGGCAAAATTATGTTTGAAAGTTTAATGTATGTATTTAATAAATATGCAATTTATATATGAATATGCGTGTATTAAGTATATGGCATCCAATGAAATCGTTATAAGTTGAATAGAAAATGTTTTTGAGAAAATTAAGGTACAAACAAAAATAGTTTAAATTATAATTAAGCTTTTAGTTTTGTCTTATCAAATTTTTATATACTTTATATATAGAGTGACAGAAAGATAAATGCTTAAATACTACTTGTTTTGTCCATTTTATTTTACGTTGAAGAAACGTGTTTGCAGTTTTGCATCACGTTAAATGCTGTCAAAGTATCTTTGGTGCACTTAACATGGAGCTTTGTTGGATTCTGTGGTTTGGTTAGTATTTATGCGTTTTTTGCTTTTTTACTTTATACATTTTCTTGTTTTATTTCAGTGAGATTTACTTTTTAACTTTAATATTTTCGAGCTTTTACACATAATGATGCTGCTGTTGTTGTTGATGGTGTGATTGATGTGCTATTGTTGTTATTGTTGCCGCAGTGATGCTTGTTGTATTAGCTACTCCTGAACTTGAGGAAGCTAGATTAGATGCGGTAGATGTTGACGATGATGACGACGATGATGACGATGCCTAGTTAAAGATCTTAAGTAGACCCATCAGCAACAGCAGCAGGCATTAGTAGCACTAGTCTCTTCATCGTCTATCTTTTTAGTTAGAGGTTTTTAAAGAGGACGATGATGACGATGACGATGAAGAGACTAGTGCTACTAATGCCTGCTGCTGTTGCTGCTGTGGATCTTTAACTATGATTCCAGGTCATCGTCGATCTTTTTAGTTAGAGGTTTTTTCAAAGGTGTTGGAAAAGTTTTTATATAATAATAAATATTAACTTTGAAGAGAGAAAAGGAATTTAAAAAAACTACAGGAGTTTTTTTTAATAAATAAACTAATAAAATTAAATGCAAACCGTGAGTGGTATTTTCAACCACAATAAAATAATTTACGAATTGTATAAATGAAACTAAATGGAACAGAGGAATTTTTTTAACGTTATATATAGTGAAACTAAAAACCAAAAATTTAGTTTTTTTTTTAAGGAAAAATAAGCAATAAGTTGATCGAGAAAATAAAATATTTTACTATTGCTACAACTAAGCTTTATTATGGAACAATTACATTAAACCAGACATGATGAAAACTCCTATTAAATACCGGTATTTTTAAACCTTTCGTTTAAACTAATTTATCACCCAAACATCTTTCATTCTATTATTATTATTATTATTATTAATTTCGCAAGAGAAATAAATTCTAAGACTAAACTCTTAAAAGCACTAGCATCTAAGGCTATCGGCCTTTATTAAAAACTCTACGGCACTTGAGATTCGAACCCACGACCACTGAGTTGCTAGTCGAGACTCTTGCCTACTCGGCCACCCAGGCGGATCTCTCTTTCATTCTAAAACGATCACTCTTAGTTATTATGAACAAATTGTTATGGATATGTATATATATTCCAACAGGCGAACCTTGAAAGTAAATAGTTATTATGTACAACCAACGATTTCAGATGGCTTGAAAGGCATTGTCGTGCCTGTGAAACTTTTTTTGCGGGTTTTACAGGTTTGGTAAAAACTATGCGAATTATATTAACTATGACATCGCAAATTGTGCTAATGCTTCCACAGTCTTCATATTAAAAAAAATACTGCCTTGTATCTTCAGAAGGACATAATTTATAAAGAGCTCAATTTGCGCCTTTTAATTGCTAGACTTTTTCTCGTTCCTTTTTTGGGAATATTTGCTTAAGGAGTAATCATCTTCTCCGCACTAAAGGAGGCATTTTTCAAACATGTATATAGAAAGTGAAAGAATTTATAAACGTGCAGCTGTTACATAAAAGTTTTAAAAATATTTTCTTTCGCATTTTTTGAAAATATAAAGGAAGCGTGACCGTTTTCAAAAGACAAACGCTTTTGGCTATGAGCTTGTCTTATCGTAATCCTGTAAGCCATAATTTCGCCTTTGGAACAACAAAACAATAATCTCGAAAAATATGAATTAAAATCAAATAAATGAAAGTTGCAGGAATTTTCCGAAAAATTGATTTTAAAATATGTCGTCGGGGCAAAATTTTTTTGGAAAGATCACTTAAAAATCGACGTTGGAGTTAAGAATATTCAAATTAATAAAAAAAAAAAATTAAAAAAATGCTACATTTTTGGCGTTAAAATTTCTTTTAATTTCAGTAGTGCGGTAGGCTCAAAAAATATGGTTTCGAGCAAAACGCGTCAAAGTATCAACAATGCTATATAACTGAATTTTTAAACCATTTTAAATTTTGCCTCTCCAGTCAAACTTTGAGGGTCACTTATAAACCAATAAAAGAATCACGAAAAACAATAAAAAGGTCAAATTGCCTCCCAATATAATTTTTGAAACTGCATCATTCACTGGGAACCGTTTCAACGGTAATGTTACCTGACCTTGTTCACCAAAAATCAGCTCATTACTCTGAATTTATTTAAAATTGAAAATATTTATCATCATTTCGATTTGTAAATATAAGAGTGCAATGCAAGCACATAAAAAGATACCAATGCGGCTTTTATTTGGTTGAGTTTGCTTGCGCACCGCTACGTACTCTACTGTACTTGCGTAGAGAAAATATGACTTGGTATCTAGTGAGCATCGATTTTTGAAAAAATTGTGTCATTTTTAACAAAAATTGCCCAAAAATCGTTCGTAGAGTTGGCAAAATGAAGGCTGAAAGACCCAATCGTACGGTAAGCTTGATGTGCCTGATTTCCGAAATGGCGCAGTTAAAGTTTTGCCGTTACAGCGATTTGTACTTCAACACCAATCTGCGTTGCCTGTATAATAACATTTCTGAACGAACATTTCCATTGTTACAGCAATATTATGCTTAGTTGTTTTTTTGTATTTCCAGTTGATTGACGACTTACACAGTCCACTCAAAATACCTGCAATATGGCTGTACGACGACGTTCGGGTAGTAAACTTCTTGGATAGTTTAGAAAGTCTTTCAGTCAATAAAAAAACCAAAAGGTGATATTATAGCTTTACATTCGATTTTTGCCTAAGCCCGTTCTTCATAGAAATATGCGTTAGATTAGGAATTCGCAAGACACTCAACGTATATATCTTGCTAGCGAAATCGAAATACAAAACAATACTATAACTTCTGTAATTCAGTAATACGGGACGTGTATACCGTTCTTAAAAATTGATTTTCTAAGGTAACGGAATATTATTCAATTAAAATTGCCTATTATCGAGTTTGGCTGATAAATCTATTAAAAAAAAAATTACGCAATCAGGAAAAGGATTGTAAAATAAATGCAATCAACCATAGCTATCTCCTTAGTCAGACGAAATTCTTTACTTAAAAACTGATCATTAGTCAATCAATAGAGAAAGCAGAAATCTTACTCAGTTTTCTTATAGCTGTAAATCAGCAAAAATGTCTATTTAAAAATTATAAAAAAATAAAAATCAGGTAAGAATTTTAAATCAAACTTATAGGAAACTATCTTATAATAATAATAGAAAAATTTACATTCAAACTTTTTGAAATTAAAAGGCATTTAAAGAACGATGTTAAATGTTATATATTATATTCGGGGTGAGTTCGAAATTTTTAGCTCTACCACCTTTATTGATATTTCATATACACAGTCTGAGACGAAATGTATTAAACTTTGTAGTATTGTGGATAATTGCATTATTTTAAATGCTTTTAAGCCACTTTTTTGGAGTAGTGGTTAATATAACTGTAAGATTCGTAGAGGTTCTAAATTTAGAGGCAAGCCCCTAATAAATAAATTGGATGTTTTGAAGAGTAAGCTCTTTTTTGGCTGTTTATGCCAAAGTCTTCACAACAAACTTGAAAATAACGCTACTCAGTTTTGCTGTTGAATGTAACACATACAGAGGGACAAATATGTCTAGACCCATCCCGATGTTCAGATCACCTTTCGTTTCAAAATGATAACAGAAATTAAGATATAATTCAATTTGAATTCAACCCCCGGTGGTAGTTTTAAAAACAACAAACATTCCAAAACGAAAGCATATTTGAAAATTAAAATTAAATAAAGAAAATTATTAAATTGTTTTTACTTACCATGTCCCTGTTGCTGTTCTGTGTGTTGTAGTTGTACAGCACTAGTCGGCACTAATTGCCCGCCAACAGCTGCCGTCGATGATGAGGTGGAGCTAACCGAAGGCGATGATATTGCCATACTGCCTGCGGGTCCCGAGTTACCCGCATTCGTATTAGTGCTTTCGTCTGCGGTACGTTTAAAAAAATTATGTTGCAAGGCATAATACGGTGTGACACGTGTTTTTGGATCAAAATCCAACATTCGCAATATCAAGTCTTTGAATTTCAAATAATCGGCCAATGAATGACCCGGTTCATCGAGCCGCCGCCCACCTGGTCCACCAGTCTCCACGCCCAGAATATCGTGAAGCTTTCTTGAACCAGGAGGTTTATATTTGCGACCATTTTGACTTTTCTTTAGTACATATGAACCATCCGAAACAATTTTATCGAAGAATTTACGAGTTTTATGTGCTTGGTCTAATAAATATTTAGGCGGCATTCCCAACACTTCAACAATTTTATTCATTTGGTCGACTTCATTACAACCGGAAAATAAGGGTTCACCCGTGTGCATCTCGACTAAAATACAACCCAGTGACCACATATCAATAGCTAAATCATACGGTATGCCTAAGAGAACTTCTGGGGAACGATAGAAACGCGATTGAATATATTGATATATCTGAAAATCGAGAAAAATAAATGAGTAATAATTGAGATATACGCCATAATGTCGCGAAAATTTTACCCTTTGACCCAATTGACATGAACTGCCAAAATCGACAATTTTTATAGCTGAACGTTTCGGATTGCAAAGCAATATATTTTCGGGTTTAAGATCACAGTGTATTATATTCAGTTCGGGAGTACTTAAAAAGAGCAAAGCAGTACATAGTTGTTGAGCGAACTTACGTGTCAAATTCAACGAGACACCACGAAAATTTGTATTACGTAATAAATCATACAAGTTATAGGATAATAGTTCAAAAACTAAACATAAATGATTTCGCCACATAAAATGTCGTTTGAGTTTAACTACGTAAGCGGAAGAGAAGAATTGACATTAATCTCAAGTATCCGTAATCTGCTCCGATCCTTACCTATATAATATTTATTTTCAGCATCTGCGCGATTCATCATTTCCAGCAATTTCACCTCAATTTGTGCCTGATTTAGGAACGGTTTCTTATTTTTTATAATTTTTATCGCTACAAAACCTTGCTCTTCATGATCGTAGGCCTTAACTACTTGACCGAAACTGCCTTTGCCTAAAAAATTAAAAAACCGAACGTAGTTAATGTTAGAAACGTCTTTTTTAAACTAGAACACCTACCTATTAATGAATCTATTTCATAACGATCTAAAAATTTTTCGCCATGTTTTATGATATAGTCGTGATTGTCGTCATCATATCCATCATTATATAGTTTACGTTCCTTTTTATTTGAAGAATCATCATCGCCTTGGGTTTGTTGTGCTCGACGTTTCTTCTTCGCATAGTAAACCTAGAAATAAATTGAAAAATCACATTTTATTATTTAATCGATTTTATATTAATATTAATTTGTTATTAATATTTATTTTTACAATTTTTTATTTAGTGACGATAATTACTAACTTCAAAAATATTAAAATTGTTATTTGCATTGGATTATTTATTATTATTATTATTATTATTGGGATAAATAAATTATTTCCTTTACAAAGTTTAATAGATGAGATGTGTATGTATCGTCATTATTTATAGTTTTTGCCGTTTATCGGGTTGCTTCTGAATGCCCTCGCGGTAGAAACTTCCTCATTCTGGGGCCAAATAGTCATCGTTTCATTTGTGCGCATCTTCAACATAGCAGAGCTGCTGATCTATAAATACGATTGCATCTATCTGAAATAGTCATAGAATAGAAGGAAACGAGACTGGAGTATATAGCGCGTGCGGTGAAACTTCCCAGCCGAAGCTGGAAACCATTTCCTGGATTTCTTTTCATTTCAAGCCAACTTAATAATGTTCGTAGACTCAGTTGCATTTTTTCTAGGTTAATTCAGTGAAAAGGAGAAAAACGCAGTGCCATAGATAAAATGCAACTCACTTGATTTTAATATACACCGAACGACAGCCCGTAAACGACTGAAACTTATATCGTTTAAACATCAATATCTAAGTTATCTATAAGTAAAATTTCAGAAAAATTGGACGCAACAAGCAGATTTTATGAAGTAACAAATTTTAACAGGAGGGACTTATTTGCACATCAACTGTTTTATTGTCGTTTTTATATATAAATATATATATATATATATATATATATATCTGACATTATACATATATATAATAACAAAACAAAACGAAAGTTCAGTATGTCTGTATAAAAGTTAAAAACACGTTGTCACTCTTCTACCAAAAAGCCTACGTACATATGTGGAAGACATCAAATTATTGAATGTGCATGCAAAATGTAAACATTAACTAAAGCGTATGATTGAGTGAGTGTGGTGGAGCTGTGACTGTTTTGTGCGTGCGCGCGCGTTTGCATGGCTGTGTGCCTGTGACGCATCTGTGTATGGATTTGTTGTAATGGCTACCAACCAACCAAAATTCATACCCCTTTCATTGCAGCAGCAATGCCCACCACCACTGGTGGTAATTACAAAGCAATACATGAAGGATGAACATACACACGCAGGCATTCACAAACGCAAGCTTTATAATGAGAAGTCAAAAGTTTCACACATAAAAAACGTTGTTGCTAACTCAAACAACATTTACGAGTTTGTGCGGGTTATGCTGCTGGATGCGAAATTGCCCATGAGAGTAGAGGAAATGAAACAAGAGAGAGAGAAAAAGGGATGTAGAAAAGCTATAGAAAGCAGCAGCAGCACCAGGTGACGATTTTTATAATGGCTGTGATGATAATGAAGATAACAATATTATACAAAAAGAATAAAAAAATGAAAATGTTATAAAAAATAAGAATAAAAATGTTATATTAATATGTATACAGATGCTGCTTTATCCCAAAAGCTAGACGAACGATTAATCAGTTGTTAATAAACATTTGAAATAATATTATTTTAAGTTTCAAATAAGCATATGATAGCGTGGCGGCTGGGTGTCAATAACGAGGGAGGTAAGCACCAAGTTAAAAACAGAGAGCTCAAAAGCTAGAAGCCGTTATGAGAGGGTTTTTTTTTAATGTGCCTAAAAGTCTGCAAACTCTTTTACAGCCACCACAGCAAAACTGGATGAACGCTTAAAAATGGGTGTATGCCATGTCAGCCGCCGGCGTCAGACGTTCACGTCAACGCCACTGAAATGTGGATGGTATTTGTTCGGTGTGTGCTTTTCGCACAGTTTATTCTTGATGGACTCTTTTGATGAGTACATAAGTGTACTTTTACCAACAGAGTAAGGCAGCATTTTTTCGCTATTATTTTTTTATGCGTGTGTGTGGGTTTTAGTGTGGAACTTTTTGTATATATACCATGATGGTGTTTGTCGTTAATAACATCCAGACCGAAAAGTAGCAAAAGCAACAAAAATGTACACAATATTTCTAATCTAGCTTTGAATAATTATAGGCAGAGTCACAACATAAATATTAGATGCCTGGTTAGTCGATTGACTAGTCGAACATAACAAATTATCATATTTTAGCAATATCTGGGTACTAAAGTTTGGCAAAATATTATAAAATATGTGTTAAGAATGCATTCTCTCAAGATCGGTTTGAATAGTTGTATATTTTCTTCTGCCTTGTCTATTTAAACTATATACTATACTCCCAGACAATTAGTAACAAGAAAATATACTACAGCTATTGATTAACATAAACGACGATGATTAAGACGATGGCGACTAGTGCTAACAACAGCAAAGGCAGAAACGGCAAGGGAACTCAAGCCAGTTGAATGCACAAACCGCATGGCGAAAAGTGTCATAGCACATATGTAAAGGCATACATTCACGCACAACAAATTTAATTCATAGTGCAAACGGACAAGTAGTCGTATAACAGTGTGTAAATACAAGCAATCATATGGAGCGCTATATTGAGGAAGTATTTAACAACATGTTAACGAGCACCATCCGCTGTTTGTATCGTTGTATCGGAGAAATGAAAATCAAGCCAAAAATGTTTCATCTTTTCAAAGTCTGAGATAAATAACAACAACCAATTTTTATTATTGCAAACACCAAATTCAAATTTCTGAGGTAGTAAAACTAGAAAACAGGGCTCTATTAAAAGTTTTTTTATACCAAAACATAGAAATATGTAGTAGCACCTGTTATGCAAAGTTCAATTTTGAATTCTTTTTTAAGAAAAGAAATATCATACTAAGAAGTAAAATATTTGTTGAAGTTTGATTTGAAAAAAGTATAGTGTTTTCGTTTCTCTACCTCGTACATTTGACAATTTACATAGTTTCGAACTCCCTATTTAAATGACTAATCCCAAGTATTAAAAAATTGTGCGTTCATAAGGTGTGACAAAGCATAGCCATAATTTCAAGAAGAAACTTATTTATTCAATTTCGAAATATTGAAAAGAAGCACATATATCGATATATAATATGAGCCGTTTATTTTGAAAGTGGTTTAAGTCCATTTTTTCCTATATTGAGATATTTAGGGGTTTGCGTTTGAATTGTTTCAAAAATATTGTTAACTGATATTAAGTTGTTTTTACGGCTTTGTTACTTTAAACATGTGAGAATATATAACGTAATACGTTTTGTAAACTTTACTAGAAAAGTAAGCTGTGTTTCAGAACCTTTTTTGTTTGTGAAAAGTTATAAGTCCACTTTGTGTTCTTTGTTTAATATTATTATAAGTTAATTTGTTTTTTTTTTTTTTTTTAGATCTATTTATTAAAAAATTAAACTAACATTCATTTATTAAGAACAATATTAAAGATTTTGCCATATTATTTCTCCCCATTAGATTATGTGTAAGGTTGTTAAAATATTCAAGGCGCATAGGTGGTATATACCTTAGTGAGTCCATCATATCCTTATACTTAGGATTTGAAATGGGACGTACATTTTTGTATAAGGGAGTTAATTTCATTTTGTTGAAGTTCCTTGGTCTTCCCCGACAAGGTAATAAATCAAGTATTTTGAACTCTGTATCCACTTCCATAGATTCTTTATAAAACATTTTGTAGGGTTCACTTTTTATAAATCGCATCCAAGCCAATTTACAGGTGTATTTTAATCTTTTATAAATTGCTTCTTCCAGAGGTTTTGTAGAAAAAAAATCTTCACATTTTATTTTAGTTAATATAAATTTGTTACTCTTTCGACATGTTTTTATGGTTTCTTAGTAATCCTGGGGGACATACATTAAATTATTTTTCCTCAAAGCCATTTCTATCACTCAAAAATCACTATCATTTCGCAAAAATGAATGTCCTGATAGTAACATAAGACATTCTATATCAAAATTATTTTTTTCAGTGGACTTAAATCAGTTTCAAAATAAATTTTTTTGCATTTCGTTAACTAACCAATTTTCAGGTACCCCAAATCATAGCGATTTTAATGATACTAGACTTAAATTGTTTATAAAAAAAAAGATTATATAGGATTGTGATTATTGTTACCATTAACTAAATTTTTTTTAAAAATGAACTTAAACCACTTTCAAAATAAACGGCTCATATATCGAATTGGTCTTCTTGGCCTGTCAAAATTTCACGTCATTCTAATCATTTATTTGCGAGTTACACTAGTTAAGTGACGATATTTTTCTTATTTTGAAACCAAAAAAGAAAATGAAATCGTCAATCTATTACGGATTCGAAGCGCTCCCAAGAGCGTAAAAATTAAAGTTCGAGTTGTTGTCCCACCGTATGCTCTAGATCTCTAACCACTAATAGCTCTTTTCATATTGCAATAGAATGCTCTAGGGGAAAGATATTTAGATCAAATAATAAGGTCATTGCGGGAACTGAAGCGTAGTCATTCTGTAATACGCAATACATCGAGACGCGTTGTGAAAAACGTTGGTCTGAATGTATCCCTCCTAAAATAGAATATGTTAATGAATTAAACCGAATTGTGCAAATAAATCCTCCCGGGAATTTTTCGGGACAAGTTAGTGGTTGCCATAGGTTTTTACAAGTGTATTTGCGTTCGCTCACCTGCAGCGAATTTGATAGTGGATAAAAAGAATTTAAGAACATTTGAAATATTTTTTTTTAAATTAATTAAGAGTCTCATTTATTAATGTTTATTATGGTCATTTCACAAAAATTAAGTTTGATAAACATTGATCCCAAGATTCTGTAATGTAATAGATTACTGCATGTATTTTGATCATTTTTTCACTTGAAATGGGAAAAATTGGTACAATATAAATTAATCAAAATACTTTCCATTATTTTCTACAACTTTTTTCGATTTTTCTGGTAACAAGGGGATACGTTGCCGAAGCAACGATATTGGTTTGGCAGCGATCAAATCATCGACCCATTTGACAACAGAGTATCCTTGGCAACTCTTGCAACGCGCGGCGGAGCTGCTAGTCGATAGACATCTGCATTAAGAATTTTATTGGATTTTAGGAGCTCGTAATTCATTACACCTTGTTGATCCCACCATAAGCTTAGAAGAATTATATACCTGTGAATATTCTACTTCGATGTAGACGTAGATGGGTCCCCTGGAAAACTCATGACTACTTGCATTTGGAATTTTCGCAGTGGACCGACTTTTTATCACCAGTTACGCCACAGAAACTCCTTCTTGTTTTGCCTCACAAGCAATGGAACGGACAAGTTGAAACGATTTGAAATGCCATTTTCAGTCAATTGGTATGGTAGCTATCTTTTCTCCTTTTGTATCTTTTCCATCGCATGTAAGCGTCTAGAAACAGTTCATTCATCAATTACTACGCTGTTCGAAGGTTTTCTGAAAGTTTGTGCTGGGTTTTCGTCCAATAATTCTTGCAATTCATTGTCTTCGAACTTTTTTTGGTCCTCCAGGCCGTTCTTTGTCATGGACATCAAAATCAACACTTTTAAACAATTGAACCCAAAACGGACAATTGATTTATGATCGAGCAGCATCACTGTAAATTTTTAAAAGTATTCGATAGGCTTCGGCAGCAGATTTCTTTAAATCAAACGGCAAAAAATAATGATGTTGAAAACGCAATTTTGAGCGTTCTATGATTAGCGTCTGCATACACCGAACAACTCAATATTACTAAATAGAAAACTGTTATTTTATGTAAAGAAATGCCAAGCGTATCGAATTTAACTATTGTGTGCATTGATACTTCACATTACTATATCATTTTCACCAATAGATGTTGCTGATTAAAATACTTGCAAACACCTAATGCATATTAGATGTGCTTATAAATACCGTAATTTTTTGGTAACATTTAAATTTAATTAAATCATGCTTATTACAAAGCTTAATAATCGAAATATTCATCATTATCTTTTACATTTTATTGGGTAGCCTGCAGATACCCGCGCATTAGAAACGTGGTGGTTTTGTATTTATTTGAAAACTGGTTTGAAAACTTGTGAACATTTCTGTAGCCGACGACAGACGAACGGCCAGAAAGAAATAAATCGATTCACTATTTTAATTTCCAAAAAAATATACAATATATATATATGAATATATACTTCGCGATATAATTTTTTTGGCATATTTCTGTGCCCTTAAGACAAAGCTGGGAAAAAACTAAGAGCAAATTATGCCAAATATGATTCGTACTTTACAAAATTGTGAAATTTATCAGAAAACGACTGAATATGGGATCGAGAGTATTAATGATTTCCGATTCTTTTTCTTAGGATGGAGTAAAAATCTATTAAAGCGATGGGTGTCAACTAGGCCAGATCCCACTGTTTAAATATTCTAAAAACGAAATAAGTGTCTTTTTTTCACAGTGCTGGCAAGGTTCCAGATTTGAGGCACAAGTTATACACATTATCAAGTAAATCCGACTAAATGCTGCCAACCAATAGCGTTTGGTATTCGGTCCGGTTCCGATGGTTTTTCTTTTCTTAGACCCAGCATGTTGATTCCATATCTTGTTAAATTTATTGTAGCTCTAGGGAGATGCTTTGTTGTTGGAAACAGCTCTGCAATGATTGTTTGCGCCCAGGCAGTATTAGTTATTCCTAGTATAGGCTTTTCGTAGCAAACTTTCTTGGTTATAATTTTATGCGGTAAGCCTCACGGATTGTTGTTTGTCTTCGCACAACCCTTTCTAGCATTTCAGTTTACTGAGTTTTATTGCTGCTCGGAGAGAGCATTTCTGTAAAATTCAGCACGATTTACATTTCCTCTTTTCCTTGTCGCTCGTCTTTTGGCGTTGTCCAAGACGCACTGTTGCAGCTCGAATGGAAACTTCTGTCACATTCAGCATTCTCACCAGATATGACGCCTTCTGATTGTCACTTGTTCAGACCGATGCAACTTGGCATGGCTAGCATGCAGCTTCGCAAAGTACGGCTTAACGAAGTGCGGAGATAGGTCGATGAATTGATTGCTGCGAAACCAATATATCGAAAAGTTGCCAGAAATATGGTAAAAAGATGTAGAAAATGGTGGAAAATATTTTGGTCAATTCACATACACCAACTTTTCTCCATAAATGACTTTTTCAAGTGAAAAAATGGTCACAATTAACGCAACCACGTAATATATAGACACTTTCACCAAGCGTTGGTGATTTTCTTTCTATTCTGAAACCATGCATCCATTTTTGATTTTGCGTATGGCTTGCTAAGTAGCACAATTTCTACATTTTATTCGATTGCTATTTACGGCATCAAGCGTTGGTGATCTTTATCCCTTTCTAGATTGGCTTGAAGGAATTCTATTAGGGTATTGTGGTTCTTTGTTGTATGCAGCTCTTGAAACAAAGTGGGTTTTGTTTGTTAAGCGTTTCTATACGGATATAATGCACAAGGTCTTGCTCTTGCATTCTGCGGCCATCGGCCCTTAATTTCCGCATCTTCTACACAGTGAATTGCGACCATTTTCGTGACTCTCTTTTAGCCGATGACCTGTCCCTATACAAGCATATTTTCTAAGTCTCTTTTTTCTTTATGCAGCATCGACACCATCCTATTTTTATTTTGTTGGCTTTCAATAGCTGTGCTGCTAATGCTGTTGTTATTTCTACCATTCACTGGCCGTCCTTTTAATTGTAACACGTTCCCCTTTTATGTGAGGGCCAGCCAATTGCTTCCTGTCCAGCTTCTTATGGCTTCTTCTGGTTTTTAAGCCAACCGCTTTGTTTGGTGGTTTCTACTGTATCCTCAGGCTTCGGCGCTTCTTTCTTGGGTGCGGTTAGTTTTTTAGGCATATTAGTCTTTTTATTGCCACTTAGGATCCTTGTCTTCAAGCACTACCGCATATTGTTCAGTTTGCACATATTTCCTTGTCAGCCCAGGTTTCTCTTTAGGTTCTTCCGCCAATGCTGTCCGAGTGTTTATAGTTATGACTTGTCTATTTTCCACCAATTATTGGTACAAGATTTTAGCATGTTCGTATTATGTTGTGCACATTTATTGCGGTGAACGCTTACTTCTCTTCTGCTCTTACTTTATTGAGATATTCTTTGCTTTTTGTTGCGCCTTGTTCAGTCTTCTCTACGTTCATTACCTTTATGTTTATTCAGTTTGACGCTGTTTTGCGTTTTTGGGAAATAGCTTGTCAATTGCTTTAATGGCCGCTTTACTTTCCGTTGCAATCCTATTGTTGCTGACATTTATTTATTGAGTTGAATATGGATTGTTGTTTTTTTATTATTGATTATTGTTTTCGTGTTTACTGGTATATATACGTATTTACGTGTGACTCTATGAATGTATATTTTCATTATTGATTCTTTCGTATTGCAAAAAAATGCAGCCGTGCCGAGTTTCTCTTGCCCTTTGCTTTTCTTTTTCTTTACCTTCTGTGCGATGATCTTGGACAATCCCAGCTAAGTTGGGGAGCACGAAAGAAAGACCCCAAAAATCAACAGCTACTTTCTGTTTAGTTGTATGTCTTTTTTTGCTTTATCACACTTTGTGCTTTGATAGCAGTTTTTTCTTTATAAATTTAACGCAAACCTGAGGAGCCTTTAGAAACGCGTCTTCTCACTACGAATTTTGTCCGACCATACGTGTATGCATGTTTTTGTGTTTATTTTTTTGTTTGTTTCTTTTACTCACCTCATTTATGTGCTTATAGGTCTTGATTAAATCCACGCTTAGCTTTCTTAACGGTGCCGTTGCGGGATCGCGAAAATGTGTTGGAATTCGTGCTTGCATGGCACGCACTTCAGATGAAGACGTTGGACTAGATCGCTACAAAAGCGAGAGGAGAAAAAAGAAATAGAAAAACCGTCAAATAATAATAAAAAAGAGGAAGAAAGGAAAAGCATGTAGCAAACTGTCCACTAGGACGTGCAAGAAAACAAAAAGAAAACTTACATGATGCATAACATCACGGTGTGTAGCGGGAAGCTCTTCTTCGACAACAAAACGACCGTAAAGTGGAGCGTGACGTTGACGACCCCCACCGCTAACACTTCCCTCACCAACAGCAGCTGCCGCACTAGATACATAAGCTGCAGATACTAAAAAGGAAAATAAATAGAAACACCAAATAAATTAATACTTAGTAATAATTTGAAGTATCAAATTAACATCTAATCCCTGCTGAAATGGATTTTGATGAATATTTGATGTAAAGAATAGCTGTTACTCAAAGAAAAAATAAACACCTCAAACTTCACTGCGTGCTTCGTGAAAATGGGAAGACAAGAACGAAAAATGTAAATCATTCTTTTTACAATTATTACACAATCGGCTAAGAATTCGGGGGATGAAAAGAGATAGCTCAGGCTGACCCAGAAGAAATAAATGCTTAAAGCACAGGTAACATGTGAGATTTTCACAAAAAGTATTTGCTTTTTTACCTGTGGGTGACGGACCAAGATATACTGAAAATGTGCTCCTATTATAAAACATAAAAATATTCATCGGAGACGGCATGAAGTATATACGCTCTTGAGCAGGGAAAGTTCATTTACATTGTTATATTGTTAATTTTGCTGAAATTTGACATAAACAGTCCCAGTTATTAGCTAAAGATCAGATATGAATGCGACTAAAACTTATAATTCGTAAGAATTGTAAGAATTGGTACAAAAATTTAGCACAACCACTTAAAAGCCCACTGCAAATCCACTGCACTGGAGGTAGCACCCCAATGGACGAACTAGTCTCAGGAATTGTTTCCAAGTGTTACGAACGAAATGCAAAGTTACTGTAGGGTCATTTATAGTGATTAAAATTTCTATCGCCAATTCAGTCTTCTCTTACAACTATTAAACCGTTTAAGTGCCTGAAGTTAGTTTGTCCTACGGAGTTTTTTACATCCTTGTGTTTAATACCTTCAAAATTTGTGCTTTTCAGAGTGAGCCTTCAGATTATTAGAGAGAGAGAGTGAGAGAGAGAGAGAGAGAGAGAGAGAGAGAGAGAGAGAGAGAGAGAG